CTGCATTTCTACAAAAATCACCGCCGTCCCAAACCTTATTTTCAGTGACAACAGGAATGTTCAAGATGACAAGACTTTATCACATTTTTGCTTAAGGGGGGATTCTACCTAAAAAAAGTGCATTTTTTCAAATAATTGTAGGAATTTAAGTTTTGGTCACAACTATCTAAAACTATATATCACTGGAAAGCTTATGAACTATATTTTTCAAAAAAAGGTGTTATGTCACACCTGCAGCAAATGTAACCTGACACCGGTCATTTCAATTAACAACTTGTAGTGTCTCACCTATATGTACTTGAGTAAAGATTGTTAGAAACTGTTTCAATGAAATACCAATATTTTGCTGTTATTCTAAACAATATTGAATACTTGTTGGGATGAGTGAAGGATTTCAAGAATTTTTTAAATTTGACATCACAGCACTGGTGTCAAGTTACACATCTAACACATGATCACTATTTGTTTAATCATTTCTTTAGAAAGACCTCTATGGCATTTTCCTTCACTCATCCCAAATAACTCAATTAGATCAGCAATCCCTAAAAATTTCAGGTCCATAGCTCTCATACTTCTTGAGTAATCTTTTCTCAAGTATTAAAAAATACGTTTTGAGAAAAAAAGGCCTAAAGTTACAAGATTTTAAAATTAAACACCTCCTGTATTCAAATTATGAAGTCAATGAGTAGCCATAAGTTCAAATATAATTAGGATAGGCAAGAGCAAGAGTTAGAATGCCCCAGCTTCATATAAAACATCTTCTTTTTCACGAAGAGCCGCTTCTCTTTGAGTACGGATAAGCTGCAATCCCTGCCGGCGCTTCTTCTCCTTGGCCGTTGCCTGCTTATCAGCTTTCCGAAGCCTTGAATTATCTCTTAGTCGAAATGCATCCTCAGTAAATGCACCTCCAGGAATTGAAAGCCTTTCCATCAATCTTTCTCTGCTTTCTGCACCTCTGTGGAAGTGGCAGACTGCAGACGCAGCAGCACACCGGACAACTTTCACTCCATGGTGTTTATGTTTGGGACACCGGACCCAAACCATTGCGTTGATGCTTTCATTTGGGTTCTGGGTTTTTCCTCGTACACATCTTTCTAAAAGTTTACTGTCACTTAATGACACAAATGTGGGTTTTAGAGTCTCCACGAAGACTTCGGGCAAACAGTCATCTCCTTTGTAGGTACTGGTTCCTGTTGCCTGGTCCTGTTGCCATTTGCACCATGATGAATCACCTGGTGGACAGAAGCGGTGTTGTTTAGCATTGTCAGTTGAATTTACACAGTGATGGAGAATGGCAATAATATTTTTTTTCATAGCATAAACTGCAATGTCAACCTCCCGTTCAGAGGGATTTGCCTTGGTCAAGGTGTTTTGCCGGATTGCTAGGCCATAGTACCTTTGAAGCTGCTTGATCTTTCCTTCTGTAAGCCGGCCACGCCCTCCTATAGGTTTTCCATCAGCAAGTTTACCCTTACTGCATGCCTTCAAATTCATTAAATGTTTGCCCATCCTTTTCTGCACATGGCCTACACAATCCAGTTTAATAACTTCACAGTCATCATAGGCATGTTGAACAGTGTTAAAGGCCTTACTGTCCCCGTCTGACACCATCCATTTGTACCTCATGTTATGAAGTTCGATGGATCTATTCCAAAGAACAGAAGCTCCAGTCTGCTTCCATAGCAGGTGAACTTCCTTCGAAGTTGATGTCACAAACTCCAGATGCAACATGCTCCCTCCTCCATTCTTCAAACTCTTCCACATTCCCTTCACATTGTGAGTTCTTTAGGGAGCACTTACGGCAAGATTTAGACATCACGTGATAGTCTAAAACTTCTCCTGTGTCAATTGAGATGACGAAAACAACACCTGTTAGTGATGTGAAACCTCTTTTGGCCCAAGTGCCATCAAAGCTAACAGCAGCATCAATTATTGTGGTGCTGTCTGAGATGCCATTTTCCTCCATGATTAGCTTTCGGAGCCTTTGGCCTGCACCTTTTAGTTCTTCTTTTGCTTCACTTTCCAGTGCTTCCAAAATTACATCAACTTGCTTGTAGTAAGCAGCTCTTGACAAACAAGGCATGTTCATTATCGCACAGAAAGAAGAGAGTCCCTCGTAGCCACTTCCAGTTTCTATTGAGTGGTAGACAGCTCTCCGGTTGACATCAAATGATTTGCCTTTCTTGGCAAGGTTGGGTGATGTCTGCCAAGGAGTACTTTCATCACAAGAATAGCAGTGAATGGAGAGATCTGACATCAGTCCATAACGGCTAGCGGTATTTTCTTCAATAGTAAGGTCTCCTATATTAAAAACATGACGGAAAAGGATGCTATTAGCTATAGTTACTGAACCAAACAGAACCACAATGTTGGAGCATTAGTTCACACCTCCATAAATGTGTACAAGTGTTGCAGTGAAGAAAGATCAGAAAAAATGATTAAACAATAATAAAACTCCTTTTCTGCAAATAATTCTAACTATCGTTTTTCTTTAGGTTCAAGGGGCTGAAAAGCATATTTATGATGTGTGATATTTTTCTCACCTTCTTCGCATTTGTGTAAAGTTGAGAGCACAGAAGAGAAGCTCTTTAGATCAACGAGCCTGTATCCTTTTTCTACCTCAGCTACCTCGAAAACTTTTTTGTTTTCATCAGAACTTGAAGAAGACTCATCTTCTGAGCTCTGGAATCTCATCTTCTTCCTTGAAGAACTAGGAAGCTGATCGCTTTCTTCGCCAAAATCTGACAGATCAGACTGATCGTGCGAAGTTCCTGGGGTCGGTTCGTTTGGTTCACTCTTCCTGTTGCAACCGCTTTTCTTCAGTAATTGCGCTTTTTTACGATCTCCTCCATGCCCCTTTCTTTTCCTAGTTTTCCTGTAAACGGTTCTTTTCTTCTTTCCAGTCATTCCAGCACAAAAGAGACAAAAGGAGTTCAATATTTCGCAATACACTGTGACAACTTTCACACAAAAATCTCTCACTCGTCTCCAGTGTTACTCTTTCAATTTCTTATTTTCCCCTTCATGTAAGACAGCACAAGGATTCTAAGGGGCGTTTCGGGCTTGTTTGACATATTTTGAGCTCCAAACAGGCTGGTAAACAAGTAAGAAACAAAAAATGCTGTTTTGGTTGCCATGGAAACGAGATTTCTATTTAGATACCTCTTCTTTTCTAACGTAATTTCTCATTTATATTTTAAAATTTTTCGGTAAAAACGATCGTCAGTGTAAAGTCGAATAGTTGAACCTCGCATTTCTGAAGAAAACAAAAAAACAATATTTTGAGCTAATTTCAGGTAGAATCCCCCCTTAAAGGGTAGTCATTTGATTGTAAAATTGAAACATGGACTCAAGATTTCCCACCCTAATGATGTTTGTAAGATTGTTCTGACAATACATGTCAGGTAGAAGGAAAATGAATTTTATGGGTACTTAATTAAAGCAGCAGTTTGCTACCTCAACAAAACAGTTTTAATCAAAAACATTAAATGCGTAAGAATAATAGTTTCAGCGCAGGAGCATAAGATTGAATTAATTGATTCACGCTCAATGCACGAGACTTGAGAGCTACTAGAATAAAGCACAAAGTTTACCTGACATGGCTCTTTGTCAGCGTCAGCC